GGGGGGGGGGGGGGGGGGGGGGGAAAGAGGAGGATTGAGGCTCCTGTAGGGAGGAAGCTGAGCAGGGTTAGGGTTGCTGCCCAGCTAGGTGGGGCTTAGGGCCCAGGGCTGCAATGAGCAACTGCAGGGCCCCAACAGGGAGCAGGATGGGACTGCAGGTGGCTCGTCCAGGGGAGGGGGAGGGCCAGCTCCCCGCTGCCATGCGCACTCTCAGGGAGCAAGGGGGGAACCCACACCCCCCCAGATCTGCACAGAGGCTCCCACCCTGCTTCCTTCCCCCAGGGCCTCCGCAGCCTAGCAGGCATGACAGCACAACAGGGAACAATGGGGCCACGTGGAGATCTCCTCGCTGCTGTGAGCTTCCCCTGCACTGCCCTGGCGACACGCCCCCTGCGCATGCCACTGCTTTGAGGGGCACAGCCCCATGCTGTTACCCTCACTGCAGCCCCGTGTGCAGGAGGCGTGTTTCCAGGGCAAGGTTAGCAGCAGCGAGCAGCTTCTCCGCATGGCTCCTCTGCTCCCTGCTGCACCGGGTGGCGCCTGCTGGACTGCAGAGGCCCCAGAGGAGGGAAGCAGGGCAACAGGGAATAGCAGGCCAGTGCAGAGAAGCTACCTGCTGCTGCAAGCTGTGCACTGCTTCCCTTCCCTGGGGCCTCCGCAGCCCAGCAGGCACCATCCGGCACAGAGGAACCGGGGATCTCCTTGCTACTGCTCACCCCACACTGCCCTGGTAACGGGCCTCCTACAGGTGGGGCTACAGCGAGGGCAGCAGCACAGGGCTGTGCTCCTCAAAGCAGCAGCATACACAGGGGGTGCATTGCCACAGCAGCTGGGGGTGGGTGTTTGTAGCAGTGAGAAGATCCCCGCACAGCCCCACTGTCTCCTGCTCAGCTGGGTCATACCTGCAGTGCTGTGGAGGCCATTTGGTGGGGAAGCAGAGTGGGAGCTTGAGCTGCCTCCCGTACAGATCTGAGGGGCACAGGTCCCCCTCTGCCCCCCAGGAGTGCACGCAGTGGTGGGGAGCTGCTCTGCCCAAGCCCACAGCAGTGGGGAGCGAAGGCAAGGGGCTGTGGACCTGGGTCCACAGCCTTGGCAGCTGGGGGCCCCCTCCGGCAGGGCTGGGGAAACAGGGACTTGGGTGGGGGGTGAGGGGCACGAACAGAGCCAGGGGGCTGTACGGGGCCTTTAATTTTAATCACGGATTTTGGGTTTATTAAGAGAATTTGTGATTTTTTTGAGGAGAATGTTTTGGGTTTGTTTGTTTGTTTTGGGGGGGTTAATCAGGGAAAACCAGGATCCCTACTTATGAGGCTTAGCCATCAGTGCAAATGTTGGTATATAGACAGGAACAGCGTTTTCTTTTCTGTGCACAGTCACAATGGTGCCTTTATACTACAATTTGGAAAACATGTTACTCCAAAGACAAACCTTCTAGAAGTCCCAATTTTAGAGCCCTTGCAAGATGGTTCTACATAGTACCTGCAACAGAGTCAGTGCTCCTGCAGCTCTACCTCTCTGTGCTTGTCTTTGGTGCAGAGAGACAGTCTCAGGACTGGCTGAAGTCAGCACAAAGGTACAAATGCCAATATTACTGCCACCTTGTTCTAGGATTCCTTCAAGCAGAGTCAGAGTACACCGTGTGCTTGAGGGAGTGCTGTCTAATTATTTTTTGCTCTAGTCTGGTTTCTGGTCCAGTCTTGTCCAAGTCAGACACAGCATAAACTGCTCTAACTTGTCTAATTCCTTAGCAAAGAAACCAGCTTAAAAAACCTGACCAAAGATGATTGTTCCTCAATCAAGAGAGACATCAACTATGCCCATCTCTAAGGAAAAGGAAACAAGCACTGGATAGGTAGTGTTTGAATCCTAACAGCTTACACTGTGTGCCACGAGGTATGGCAACTGACATGAAATGCCTCATTCTACTGTTCAGAGGTTATCTTCTTAGTGCAATAGTAGGATTTTTTTTTTTTTTTTTTTTTTTTAAATGCAGACACTGAATGAGGACACGGTTCTTCAAAACCTGTGTTTTCACAAAAAACACAAACTTTGAAGCTTTTAATAATAGTAAGTCAGATACTTCTGGGTTGTCTCAGTGCCACAGATGTTCAAGGGAACCAAGGGTAATTCCTGTAATAGACCCATGGGCCCAAGAATTCTAGCTGTGCCAGTTAAAAACAATCTGAAATACACCCCATAATAAAAAGGTGGAGAATTTCTCCAATATCTGATGCTAAGTTCATTTTAGACTCTTTGCAAACTCAAGCCGGTTGCATTTGTCACATTCTCTTCACATTTTGAAGATATTATTTGCAGTCATAAATATTTAATTTATTTATTCTCTCTCTCTCTCTCCCCTCCCCTATACTGTGGGAGACAGAATAATTAAATGATATATGCATTTAGAGAGAAGACAGAAAGAGCCAGTGTGCAAGTGAAGGCACTGGCTGATAAACCTGAAAAACAAAGTGGAAATCTCAAAAAAAAAGAAAAAAGAAAAGAAAGGAAACAAGCAACAAACCCCTCCCCCTGAAGAAACCCGAGTGTAGTACTGCTGCTGTCTACTAGCCACATACTTGTATTTTCAGCAGGTTTCAATGCATTGAAAAATACGAGCATCTCCACTAGACAGCAGGAGCACTACTAATAATGCTCTGTCCACACTATAGAATGAAGATGCTCAACCTTTTTTGTAGTCTCACCTGGAACTGATGTACTGAAGAAAGTAATTTGTTGCAGATGGAGGGTCTGAACTTGGAAGTCCTGCAATCTGTACTTCAACTGTTTCATCACTTTCATCTCCTAACTACAAGTTAAAAAAATAGTAATAGTATAAAAAGAAGAGATGCTCATAGCTATTAAAAACTATGACATAGGCTGTATTCTATTGCAAGATGTATATTTTCATTCACTATAGAAGAACCACACAAAATGTATCATAGCAAGTGTCCCATTGTTTCAGGTGGAGCCCCAGCAGAAGTGCCAGTATATTGTATCCATTAATCTGTAAATTAACAGGATGAACCAAGTCCAGACACCACTGTAACTATTACACAACTGCACTGGAACTATATTAAAAAAGAATAACTTTTTCCTATGCCTTATTATGCATGTTATTACCATGTAGTATTTGTGGTTAGCTGCCATCTCTGCAGTTCTAAACTCTTCACATCTCCTCCCTGGATATGCAGGAAAGACATGCTTATGAATACCATTTTTTTTTTTTTTTTTATACAGTAGATGTTGATGATTAATCTGTTTAAAGGCAGTGGTTCTCAACCTTTTTATACCCAAGGCACTCCTCAGAAAATGCCAGCTCTTAGCTTTAAACTTTTTTTTTGTTTTTTGGTTGGGTTTTTTTTTTGGTTGGTTGGTTGGTTGGGGTTTTTTTTGTTTTTTTACACTGTAGACAAAAAAAAGCACAATTCTTTAGTTGGAAAGAACTCAGAAAGACCACAACTTGTCAATGTTTTTGACATTATGGATCCCTATCTGAAATCTCTGGGTTTAGCCTGTGGATCACACTGAGGTGCTTGTACATCAATAGTACTAACATTGCGTGGCTCTCTTAAAAAGACCTGACTGCACCCTTGTTAAGAATCACTGGTTTAAAACATGTATATTCACTCTTCTCCTCTTGCTGCTGCAGATGCCTGTGGAAACTTGCATTGCACAGAATTGCCATGGAAGGACCACTGCAATTTCAGTACAAGAAAAAGCTTTCATTCCCAGGCCAAGAGCTCAGAAGAATCACCACCAAATCCCATAGTTCTTATGCAAGGTAGTAGCTGGTGTTTTTCTTAAGAAAAACTAATTTTCTCACTCTTTGAGCAGTACTTCTCTTTAAACCTCAGTAACACTCACTTAGTAACCTCAGTACCATTTTAAACAGTAACACTGATTTTTTTTATATGGTGAGACACCAATTTTCTGAAGTGGCAACTAGGGCTCCAACCTTGGGCTCCCCCTGCATCTCCAAATAGCAGGTCCCAATGGCTAGGAGCCACACACACAGCCAGGACCATGAGTCACAGAGCTCATGGGCTCTAGCTCCCAGCTGTGCCTCATGCACATGAGGTGCAGTCAGGAGCCAGCCTTGGGTGGGCCCAGGGGTTTCATGTGCCCCCAAGCCTTGAGAATCATGGCAGCCATGATCTCCAGGGCAAAGGCTTCTCCCCATGGGTAGGAGCCTTGTCAGCTGATAGGGCTCCCAGCCGCAGGGGCGACCATGCTACACGTACGAATTAAATAACTCGATAGCAACCAGCTAAAGTTAGTATAAATTATTAAGGTCTAACGTTACAGCTGGTTGGAGCTTTTTATCATGTGATAGCTGCTTTCAGTAGGGGGCTGGATTAAATGAGTTCATGTCCCTTCCAGCCCTACTTTCCTACAATCTGTACATGCCCTTTGCGGGTCAATTTAGAAATAAAAGCTGGTATTGATTGCTTGAAACATGAGAAGTAAAATAGTAGCTAAATATTTGGATGTTGAATGCTGTCCCCTTCTATCTGGAGGACTGAACTAACTATAATTACAGAAATTCTTGCAAATACTGGCTATAAAAAAAGATAACAATAAAAAAATGCCAAGTGAAACAGAACTTTAGGCTTTACTAATCTAAGCTTCATTTTGTTTCCAGAATTGAGAAGACATAAATGAAATGGGAATTGGCATTTCTCTAATGAACAAGCTTGGAGTCCTACTTCTTTTATGCTTTTTCCAAGTTCAACCACTCTCAAAAAAAAATCAGGAAAAAAAAAAAAAAAAAAAAATCAGATTACATCTGTACCTTAACTCTGTCTCGCAAATTCTGCCCAAACACAAATGCTTGCTGTGCATTTTGCTCTGGCTTCTCATAATTATCATCCTCTGTAGTACTGTTCAGCTCTTTTTTCTGGCATTCTCGCACCTAAACGAAAAAAGTAGAAAAATTAAGATATTAAAAAAAACAGATTTTAAATGTTTGCTATAAACTAGATTTACCCTTTCCAATATTTTTTTTATTAATTCAAGGCATAAGAGATAGAAAAGAACAAGCCAGCATTACAGCATAATTCATCCTACAGATATATGTGCATCATATGACAGTTTCAGTGATGGGCTGCAGGAGGTAAGGGGAGTGGGAAGCACAGATGTGACCTTAACATCAATTCCGTCCAAACCAGTTATGGTAGTTTATCCAGAAATGTCTGGAAACTTCCATAAATATAATATCAACCAAATAGAGACTATATAAATACTTATTAGACCTGGAATAGTTTCTCCATAATCTAGATGTTTTGAATAGCTCATCTTTGGCAGTGTATAGCTGTGATCTTCCATTTACTTCAGACCAACTTCTTTCTTAAAAATACCATGCACACCCAAACAAATTTGCTAGGCTAAACTAAAGCACAGCTCTGCAACATTCTTACTTTTTTGCAATGCTACCTTTGGTCCCAACTCTGGATAAAGCTTAGATATGGAATTTACCTAGTAAGAGACGGGCACAGAACCCTTCCTACCTAACAAATGACTGACAGAATTATTAGGATCTTGCAGATACTCACAATACAGATGCTAAAAGAAAAGGAGAATCATGCTCTAAACAGCAATGTGTAGAATGCATCTGCAAAAAAATGCTGGATAATGAGTTACTTGGTTTTTGGTTGTAGTCGTGTTGGTCTAAGGACAGGCAGGCAAGGTTCTTTGAGTAGATGTGATATCTTTTATTAGACCAACTGAGTAGCTGGAAAAAAGTTATTTGCAAGCTGTGAGGCACAATTACTCTTCTTCAGGCACTGGAAGTCTCTGCTGTTCTGAGACTCAAAGGAATGAAAGAAGCTAAGCGTGACAGGATGTTATTGAGAACGTAAATAGGTGGAAATTAGGAAAACATAAAAGGTAGAGAAGGGAAAGGAAGGGGAGGGAAGCATGGGGGGGGAACAAAGGTGAATAAGGGAGACTCTACAGTAGCAGTAATTCAAGGTAGAGAAGAGACTGACTGAAGAAGTAAATAGCTAGAAATTAGCAAGACAAAGGGCAGAAAAAGAGGGGAGGAAGAGGAGAAGAAAGAAAAAAATGTAAGATTGTCCTGTGACACGTGTGCCCCCACAGGTAATTGGGTGTTCTTGTCTCTAGATTTCCAATGAACTGTGCACCAGAACGAACGCGCTTGTTTGTTCTTTCCTATGTATTTTCCATCAGGGCATTTGGTGCATTGGTTGAAATGTGTTACATTTCTGGAGGTGCAGGTGCAAGATCCAGGAATGGTGATGGTTCTGTTGTGGGGTGTAGTTATTGTGGGAGTGGTCAAGATGTGTTGGCGGGTTTTACATTTTTTTGTCCCGGCATGGTTTGGATCCATTTGGTGTGCTTTAGGCCATAGGAAGTTTGCTTCTGGTGATGTGGTTGTCAAGGTTCAGTGGTTATTTAAACGCTAGGATGGGTGGTTCTGAAAAGAGCTCTTTAAGAAATGGATCTTCTTCCAAGTATAGGTTGCAATTGTTTGAGGATTTTCCCATGAAGGTTCCAGGGAAGAGTGGTATGTCATAAGTAATAGTGTATGATTTGTGGGGATTTTCTTTATGTAGTGCAGCAAATCTTCGCATGGTACCTGGATAGCTCTTTCAGAAGTGTGATCTCGCTCTCTCTCTGGAGGAGTATCTTTGTTTGAAGGCCCTTTTGAGATTTGTGAGGTGGTGAACATAGGTATTCTCCTCGGTGCAAATTCAGTGATCTCAGAGAGCTCTGCTGTATATTACAGCTTTCTTGGCTTGTGTTTAGGGTGACTGCTGGTTCTGTGTAGATATGCATGTTGGTCTGTGGGTTTCTTGTATATGGTGGTTTGAATTCCACCATTTTGGATATTGATCATGGTGTCCAAAAAGGAAATGCTAGTGTTAGAGTATTCAAGCAACAGTCTGATGGAGGGGTGATGATTGTTGAATTTTTGGTGGAAGTCAGAGACTGCAGGGTTTCTGTCCAAACGATGAAGTTGTCATCTATGTATCTCAGGTATAGTAAGAGTTTGATGGTACAGTTCTTAAGGAATTCTTCCAGGTGGGCCATAAAAAGGTTGGCATATTGTGGGGCCATGTTTGTGCCCATAGCCTGGAGGAAGTGTTGGCTGTTGAAACTGAAGTTGTGTGTGAGGATGAAGTGTACAAGTTCAGTGATATCCTGAGGTCTGTACTCCGAGTTGTAATCTCACTCTTGTAGATATGTGAGGCAGGCTTGGATGTCATCCTAATGTGGGATGTTGGTGTATAAGCTAACGACAATCCATGGTGGCTAGGAGGGCATTGCTTGGAAAAGTGGTCTATGCTTTTGAGTTTTTACAGAAAGTCCATGGCATTTTGGATAAAACTGTCTTTGGGCGACAAGTGGTTTTAGGATGGATTCCATGAAACCTGATATTTCTTCTGTTAGCATCCCATGGTTTGAAATGATAGGTCTGTCAGTGTTCCTTTGCTTGTGGATTTTAGGGAGTATGTAAAAAGTCCTTGGATTGGGTAGTGGAGAGATCAGGGTCTGAAGGTTTTCTTGTAGTTCAGATGGAAATGATGTGATTGTGGTTTTGAGGTGAAAAGGGGAATTGGATCTCCCTCTAGTTTTTCCACAGTACGTGGCGTCAGAGAGTTGTCTGTTGGCTTCTTTACATAGTCCTCACAGTTAAGGATAACTATAGCTCCTCCTTTATCTGCTGGTTTTATTACTATTTGGTGGTTGGAACTTAAGAGATTCTATGGCCCTTCTCCCCGAGAGGGAGAGGTTTGTTATGGTGGCATTTGTTGTTGAGTGTTTCGTTGTTCATTCTCTTTCTGAAGCAGTCAACGTAGCAATCGAGGTTTGAATTTCATCCACTGTAAAGTGTCCAATCTGACGATTTTTTGGCATCAATTTTTTCGTTGATGTTGTCACTGGATCTAGCATTGAAAGTGGATTTCTTTTGGTTGTGGAAATATTCCTTCAGATGGAGGTGTTGAAAAAATTCTTCTAGTTCTCCACATTGTAATATCTTATTTGGGTGGGTTTTTTGGACAGAAATTAAGGCCTTTCGAGAGGACAGTTTTTTCAGCTTTGGTGCAAGTGAGTGAGTGAAGAGACTGATAACGTTAGAGGGCTGATTGGTACTTTCTGTTTCATCGAGTATGATGTTGGAATGTGTCACAACCCAAGGGTGTGATTGTGTGCGCGCACGCTTCGGCACTGCTAAATTATTTCCCGCCACGAGGAGCTTTCTTTGCAAGGTGCATTTCTCAGTTGCAAAGAGAAAACCCCAGTGCAAAGAAGTTCCTGCCACCCGCACGCAAATTTGTGTCCCACTATTGGCCAGTTCTAAATTATTCCCACGTGGCGGCTAGCGATTGGCTTGCTAGCCGTATAAGAGGCTTGAGCAGTTTCCGCCCAAGTTGGAGAACTCCAAGGAGAACCCCGCAAGGGAGGACTCCACAACCATCTGGAGGAGGAGGACTTCACGTCTCGTGAAGATCTCTAAGCGCTGCGGAGCCTAACAGACCCAGCATGTACCTTAAGAAGGCTATAGGGGTCTGATCAACCTCTGGCCTCTCCCCGTCGCCGAACGATCCCTTGACGAACCCCTTCCCTGCGCGCAAGTTCCACGGAGCCTAGCAAATTTCGTGCGAGTGTATCCAGAGCTCTTCTCCGAATTGTTTTCTTCAGTTGACACGACGGGCTCGCGTTTTTAGAAACTTCAGCCGGATTGGACTAGAGTTCGCGTGGAAGGAACTCTTGTCCGCTTCTCTTCTTTCCTATCTGTAACCGCAACTCAAGCAAGTTTTCCTGCCTGCACCGCGACCATCTACGGTGTAAGTAAAATAATCTTTAGTCAACCGCTAAGCGTCCGTGCCCAATTCTAGTCCACCGGCCTGCATTCCCCGACCCGCGTGCCAGGGCTGCTGGCCACAGCCCGCCGCGCACCCCCGAGGGCCTCGGACCGCTCCCGGCCCGCACAGAATGTTGTACGGTATTGGTGTCGTTCTTCTGAGGGTTGTTTTGGGGCTGGGAAAGTTGTTCCTGTAGTAACTGGTTCCATTTCTTCTTTTTATGTTGGATGGATGGCATAATAAATCTTTTGTACTCTTTTTGTGTACACTGTATAATGTTTGGGAAGATAACCTGATTCGTCTCTTGTAAGTGCTTCTAGCATGTCTTGATTTCCTTCTCAAGGCGATTTCTTTTGGAGTAGAGTATGTGAAGGAGATGATTTCTATGTTTTTCTGAAGTTCTCCTGCAGGACTGTTAAGCATTTGTGGAGCTGTGTGTGGAGCACAGGATTGCAGATGTTCAGTTTTTTGGGAATGATGGTGTTTCTTGCATAGGCTTAGAAAGTATATGTTGTTGTTGTTGAGATTAGCTTCTTTTTTTCTTCATGTTGTAAAGTTTCCATTTCAAACAGCAAGATTTGAGATCTTTCATGTTGCTGGGTTTTTGGTGGATAATGAGTGGAATGACATATTTTATGTTAAAGTCCTTCACTGATGTGGATTTTAAAGTGTGCACCTTGAATTCTGACATTTGTAGATTTGTTGAGAAAACCAAGTTAAAAAAATTTCTATTCACTTTGAGACTGGAATAATGTGTCTTTATGACTCTGAATGCTTTCACAAGCACTAAAATGTTCAACACAGAAGTATGGCATCCCAAAACAGAACCACAGACAGCAATATCCACATAATAAGGATATCAGATGAGTGCTTTTAGAAATATATTTATTTCCATTGGCCTGATACTCATCCAATAACATTCAAGAATAAAGAAAGGGACCAAGTTAGTGCTTGCCTGGATTCACCCAGCAATTAAGGGCCTGAACAGTGAAGAGACCACTATTAGGAAATCCCCTGCAGTTAGAAAGGATGATTCCCTCAACTCCAGGAAAACAAAACATTTTTGTTAGCAATATCAGTA